TGTACCTCTACCTTGTTCTGACCTCAGTTGAGCGTGTGAGAGATGTGATGTTTGAAGAGAGCTCCAGGCCTCATTGCTGAAGTGGATGATGAGAGGTTCAAATCGCCAGTTTCACCCGCTGATTTTTACAGTTTTTCCTCAGCCCTGACTTAGAACTACATGGGGAGCGTGGCAAAAATTGCCCAGGTTTTGCTTCTGGAGGTTCTAATTCCATGGGTCTGGAATAAGATCTGAACACCTGTTTTTGTTTCCTCATTTTCCCAGATGGTTCTAATTTACATCCAGGGTTGAGAACTGCTGGATCTAGCAAATATTTTTTGTGACTTCATGCAGTTAGATGCACTCATTTGTCAGGTTACTCTTCACTCATCACAATCTGTGTTATATGTGTATGCAGTAGTAACTAATGATAGTCTTGGGTTGCAAACTCAGGTGAATTTCTTAACCTCTGTGAGTCTGGTTTTGTCATCTGCAAAATAGGATTAATAAAAGTACCTAGTTAATAGTTTTTCAAGGATTAAGTGATAGATGGTGCCTGTAAAATCCTTAGTACAAGCTCTAGAACATAGTAGAAACTCATTTAGTAACATGCTGCATGTTATAGTAGAGTAGTGGCTTTGGAATCAATCCTAGCTCTGTAACTTTCCAGCTCTGGGGCTTTAAGTAAGTTTCTTAATTTCTCTGACCCTCAGGCCTCTTGTCTGTAAACTTATGGATAGGTGGGTGCAGTTACTAATGTGGGACAGTGCTTAAGACAAAAGAGGTGCTCAGTAAGCATTTCTGCTACCTTCTCTTTCATTCTGTTTTCTTAAGATATCACAGGGCCATAGAAGAAGATAATTTTGAGACCGTCATTGACTTTGGTGTTGCCAGGCTATGTTGAGAAGATATTGTTACAAATGGCCTTTGTGAGTGTGACTGACTATTGGGAGCACATCCCTTGAAGCTCTGAGGAAATGATTGTAGGCTTGAATTGGACCAGAGCTTGCAGAAAGAGTCGTGGTGCCCTGCCCTTCCAGTTCAGCATTTGGTTCATGTCTCCATTTTGCATTATGCTTAACTTGTGATGACTGTGTATTTCTCAAGCCAACAGATTGGCTGGGATTCTTTTTAACCTTTTTCAAGCTTTGACTGAGATGTAAATGTATCCTGGGGCTTAAAAAGGACGCACCGTCTTAGAACTGGACAGCCTACTAGATCACAGCCTTTATTGTTTAAGTTTATAATCTCTTAACATATGTGCCCTCCAGTTACTTATGAAGCTTTCTGGCTTCCTAGGATTGTAAGAAATCTCAGTATACTTGTTCCACTTTAACATCTTCATGTTCTGTTGATTACTCAGAATGGGAAAAGGACAATGGCTGAAGGTGACAGAAAGTTGTGTCATTAATGAATTCTCAAGTTATCAATAAATTTGGTAGTTCTTGTTGGTTCCTGTTTGTAATAGAGCAGGTCATACTTCTGTGGTTATTAAAGTGATTCAGTCTTTCTCCTTTCATTTCTCCCTCCGCTTAATAGCCTAAGTACTTGAACTCAATCTAAGGAGAGTATTAAGACATTTCCTTTAAGAGATGCTTAAAAAATGTCTTAAGTCTATCATATTTAAGTTTGATAGTTTCATGGTTTAGACAGATATTTTCAGTGACTCTGGAATGAGTTCCCTACTTGATTCAGACCCAACCTTGTAGACTATTATAGTTTAATTTTAGTGGATACCTAACTTTAAAATATATATATATATGTGTATATATTATTGCTACCTAGTTATTCTTTTGTGTTATGCCATTATTTTTTTTTTTTCAGGAAATTCATCTGTGACTACTAAAGGGTTACAATTTTACAATACATGTTTAAAATATGAGATTTGCTAGAATCATTTAGGGAATCATTTTCCATGGTTCATTAAAATGGAAAAGAGAAGAAATAAATTTGAATTAAAATCTAATTTCATTTGTATTGTTACTAGTTTTTTCTCTGTGGTATGTATGTGTCTTTCATGAGAGAATGATTGCATCTGGCTTAAGTATTTGTAGGAAATTGGAAATAAAGTGGGGGAAAAAGAATCATCATCTCCTCTGGGCATTGTATTTATGAGATGTTATGGAGAGAGCAATTTAAAAGAGGACACCCTGCATCAGTTGGACCAGCATGCAAGATTATAGAGTAAATTGATAGGAAATCAGAATCAAGAAAGAGAATTCATGGGTTTAAAGTGTTCTTTAGATCTTATGTCTTCTGGTAATGGATTTCTAAATTAGGGCTGGTGTCTTGTTCATATGTATGTTTCTGGAAGCTCCCACAGCTCCGTACGTGCTTCATAAATGTGAAATGAATGGAAGTTAATTGCCACAGGAGTGGTTGGATGAGGCCCTGAAATGCTGAGAGGAGGAAAAACAAACAAAAAAAACCCCAAGGGATTCAAAGATGGGATGAAAACAGCTTGAATAACTGTATTTGGGAAAGAATATTGAAATGGAGAGAGGTGCATTTTCAGGGTGTTCTTGTGATCCTTTTACAGGTAAATGCTGGGAGAGCAATTAGTGAGGTGACAGAGCAGTGATTCTCAAATTCCTGTAAGCTGGCCCATGGTATTCCCTTAATAAAATTATGTAACAGTCTTTTCCCAATATCTATTTAAAATGAGCTAATGAATGGATGATTTCTCTGTGTTCTTTAAGTCTTTGGCACTTGCTATTTTTGGTCAATACCAACCATTAACATAAAGTGGATTCTCAAAAAGTACCGAGTTATGGTAGTTATTTTAAGTTTGACAAATCGGTACTTAACGGAGTTCTCCAGAGGGCTCTGCGGCTTCCCCAAGCTCAGCTGAGTTTGAGAGCTGCTGTCCTAGAGCGTTAATGAAACAAAACTCCCCTGGGACCAGTTAAGCTAGGGCTTCACAGGAGTTTCTGACAACAAATCTAGGTATTGTGTGCTGTAAAAGGCAGTTCTTGTTAAGTTGCTCTTGTGGATTCCCCGTGGGCTAATAGCTTATCTAATGCTGTTATCTAGTCAGCATGGAACCATCTCATGGCTTTATTTCCTCACCTTACCAATCTTTTGAAACAAGCCATCCACAGGGGAAGTTTCTGTGAAGTGAAATCGTGTGAGTGTAACACTAGTGTTGAGACAGCCAGATTTAGGTTGGCAGCAGAGAGAAAGGAAGTGGTTTGCTTTCTTTCGTGAAAGAGCCCCTACCTAATTCTTTAGAACTTGTTTCTACCTAAAAGCTTTCTTTTTAACTAGATCATGTGAAGCAGTTGCTTTCCTGAGCTGTTTCAGGCAATTAGATGAGTAATAAAGATTGTCAGTTCTGGCCTGCTGTATTGATTTTTTGACGTGTCTCTGTTTAGGGGAAAAATATTACTTATCATGATGATTCATCTTCAAATTATAAATCTGGTGCATTTGCAAATTTTAAATTGTTCAGTATTTCAATAAATGAATACATTACCTGGGCTTGGACGACAGAAGGCCTACTAAGAAGGGCCGATTGGGAGTGTGTATAGACTAGACCAGAAGGGTGGGTGGATGTTTTATTTCAATACATGGGAATTAAAAATGACTTGTCTATCTTATAAATTTCGTTTTCTTTGAAGCCATTGCCAACTTTCAGCAGAGTGTACCAGTTGACATTTCCAAAGAGTCCATTTATTTAGTTCAGTTTAGCTAGAAGATGAGTAGTATGAGAGCTGTGTGAAGTGAGGAAGAGGCAGAATGGGAATTTTGTCTTAGATTAAAATTTGGTGGAGGATTCAGATGCTGGAAAGCGATGACTGGCAGGTTATGTTTTGTAAATTTAGCAAATGATTCTAAGAAGGGGAGGCGGCAGACTAAAAACTATGGAGTCTCAAAAGACAGCAAGCCTTGGAATAGAGATGTAAAGAGCTCTTAAACATAGGTTGGAAGCTCAGTAAATGTTAGTTTCTCTGTTCTTTTTCCTATGCTACAATGGGAAATGATAATAGTTTTCTATTGTGCCACAGCGTATGTGGGTGATGGTGCTGCTTACTGGATTGTGAGGTAGGAAAAATTAGCTCCTACAATTCAGATAATAAAGATGTAAATATCTATAAGTAAAGGAATAGAAAAAGAATCATTTTTGTGCAAGGTTGTGTGCTAGATGCTGTGAAAGCCAAGCAGTATATAAGCTGCCAGCACTCCCTCAAGGAGCTTATGGATTAGTTGGGATGAATGCCCACATAGGACAGCCAACAATGCAGGGCACCCGGGAACTGCCACACAAATAGTACAAAAAACAAAGAGCTGCAAAGAGGGACAAACCCCAGTGGACTAGGGCAGGTGGGAGGAGCTTCACCCAGGAGGTGACTGCAGAAACCTGGACTTCAAAGTGCCGTGAGATTCAGGAAGTATCAGGGAAGATGGAGGGCTTTCTGAGGAGGAGAATAGTGTGAAAGCAGAAGCAGTATGAGTAGCAGGTTCTTCTGACGAGTGGATCTTGTTGAATCAAAAAAGCCGTGTAGGGAGGCAGAAGGGGAATACTAGAAACCTATTCGAGGCAGGCTGGGGGAGACCCAGAAGGGGAGCCTGGGGCATTTGGATAGACTCACGTAAGCAGTGAGAGACCCACTGTAAGTCCAGGGGGCGATTTAGGTACATCTGTTTAGTTGAGGTTTCCTGAGTTAGACCGGTGAAGGTAGAAATGCAAAGGAAGGGAGAAATGGAAGCAAATCACACGGAGGATAAAGTGACAACTACAAAAACATCCCAGTCTTTCTATTGCAGTTTTTAAGTTGAACTCTCAAGATTGGGAGCTGTTCAAATGGAATATCCTGTCCCATTGGAATGAATGTTGACCAGATACTTAGATTGAATGAGAATAAGGGCATTAATCCGCCGTGGCCCATGACTTGAGATTTCAGCATGTTTTTTTGGCTTGGACAACTGCTGGGCCTGCCAGTGTTGCATCTATTGTGTCCTTATGGTACAAAGATTTCTGTTTGGTTCTAATTTTTCCCTTTTTCTTTCTTTCAAAATAGACTCTGTCAAGAAGAATTTCCAATCCATACCTTGAGCATACTCCTTCCCAGGTATGATTTTTTTCTCTGTTACTGTGTTTTCTGAACAATGCTTCACATATCGTGCCGTTGAATTCTCTAGTTACAGCTATTCCCTTTGCTCCTGATGATGCCATCTCCTTCACCTCGGGATGACAACACAAAAGGTGTTTAAAATGCTCTAATCATTGTATCATGGTGCAAGATATTCACTAGATAGGAAAAAAAATTATTTCCCCATCTTCCAAGTCCTTTACATGAATGCATTATCAGTACAGCAGACTTGATATATAATATAAATATTTTCAATTTGCTGTATTGGTAGAAACAGTGTATTTTAAAAATAGTGGATATTTTACACTGAAAACTTTGTACAAAAAGGGGTTATTCATATTTATAGTTACCTAATGGTAGAAGATCTCCATATGCTCGTTGGAAAAAAGATGGGGATGCCTTCATTGTGTTATGTTAAAGAATCAATCGACAAAGAGTTGCCCTTTTTAGAATAACAAGGCGATGAGCTTTGTGAGGGCAAGGACCTTTTTGCCTTGTTCACTGCTGCATCCCCAGCATCTAGAATGGGGCCTGAGAGCTGCGCATTAAATGTTTTTTGAATAACTGAGTGAATGAACGTTGGTACCATGTCAGGAATGGTTAAGGGTCAGCTGACTCGTACCTCTCTTATGGTACTACTTTCTGTTATCTGTCTTGTTCAAGTTTTTTTTTTTTCCTCCTAATTTTAACATGTTAAAAATAAATCATGTCCTGCGCTTCTCACTTTCTCGTCAGGTTGTGTTTAGGAGTTGATAATAGGAAAATTAAACAAGCATAAGGGTGGGGTTGAAGTGTTCCCTCTCGTCCTAGTCAATATATTATCAATTTGTTTGCTTTGAGACAAGATATAAAGTATTTCATAGGTGCAAAAAGAGTTCACTAAGAAACAAGACAGCCAGATGTAAGCACATACCCCTAATATATGTTGATTTTTATGAGCCTTTTCTTACGAAGACTGTCCTTTTCATTTAGCTTCCTTTGTGGAACAGCACTGTGCTGTGGAGGGAGGTGCCAATTATAGAAAAAGGAGGTAATATGTAAAGTAGGACATAGGCCTCTCTAGATTCAAGGAGTACCCTCCTTCATCCTCCAAGAATCAGAGATGCATATGGGCGAATTAGAAGATTAAAAAAAGTTAAATGAAAATTTTGTCTGCTAGATGGAATCATGAAGTACATGAAACCGGGATGCTTGGGATTAACTGACCTCTGCAGTTGAGTGAAGCTTAAAAGCAAAGCAGATAGCAGCCTGCTATCATATTGTGTCATGATGTGAGATGTTCACTAGACAAGAAAAAATTATTTTCCCATCTTCCAAGACCTTTACATGAATGTGTTATCAATATGGCAGAGTTAACATATAGTCATATAAATATTCTTCAATTTGCTGTGTTGATAGAAACACTGTATTTTAAAAAAACAGATATTTTACCCTGAAAACTTTGTGTAAAAGGAGATTATTTATAGTGAAAGCAATTTAGCATTTGGAAAATAGTTACTATACCTTAAAAACATAAGTAGACCAATAGCAAAAATAAAATAGGTAGTTCTAGGTCTGTAGCTACGTAGGCTAAAATGTAAGCTTAGGGACTTGGCCATGATTTTTCATATGTAGTATGCTCTTGGCAGCTCACAAACTGTCACATTATTGTTCTAAATTTACAGCGAATGTTTGTCTTTTCCATTTAGATTTATGGAGAGAATTCTTCTTGTGCAGGAAGAGCATTGAGAAATATTATTATCGTTCAGGCAGCTGACCTGATAAAGGACAGAGTGAACCTCAAGGGATTTTACAGGTAACACAGTTTCTTAACACATTGTCAAAAATTCTCCTTGAGAAAAAAACCTGAAAACATGTTAAAATCGTAACCTTGATCACAGGAGAGATGGGCTATACCAGTAGAAGGAGGGTTTGTTTGTTGAAACAGTCTATTTGGGATACTAATGGTGACTTTTCTCTTAGTTAAACTTAGCCGAGTGTTTGACAGTGGGACTCCTGGTTCTGAACTTAGGCTGGGAAATCATCATCCACAGATGTGGATGGGTTCCTAACAGAGTCTCTGTGCTGCTTCCTCTGAGATGTGATATTTTATAATATTTTTATTGGGCATGTGCTGCACTGAGACTTCAATAATATGGGTCCCCTCTTCAGGGACCTTATCAAGGCTCTGTGAGGACGCGGGGTCCGTGGGAGAGGGGACTTCTGCTCTAACTCACCAGGTGAGAGTGAGCCACCTCCTTGGGTGCTGCGAAGTGGGGAGGGGCAGGTTGGCATAGGGATGGCGTTTCTCTGCCTTGGCTGCTGAATAGGGCAGAGGTATTAGACTAAATGGGTGGGCTAATGGTCAGTTTGAAAGTACAATTGGACCAGGAGAATGGTCACTTAGAAAGTTTGGAACATGTTTTCATTTCATGGAGCCATTTAAAGAAAAAACAACAATGAATTATCAGCTTTTTGTTTTGCCAAGTAAAGATATTAAACCACACCAAACAACACCAAAAGAAAACTACCAAAATAAAATGGAAAGGGAAAGAACTATTATCATTTATTATCATTATCCTTCCTTACAGAAATGAGATTACAATAACATGAAAAATAGGAAGAGTACACAAAATAAAAGACACCAAAAAAGTAAGAAAGATTCTCAGAATAAAGGGCGTTTCTTTAGGTTCTCTAAATTTAGCTTTATCACAAACTCATTACAATATTCCTGTTTTTTTCCATTTACCACAGATGTGAAAAATTTCATTGTGGCCTGGATTTTGGGGATAGTGGTTCCCAACCTATTTGAGTAAGAAGACCCCCTTTTTATTGAGACATGATTTATGGTAAAACGCACAAATCTTAAGGGTACAGCTTGATGAACTTTTTAAAAAGTGGTTTTTTTTTTTTTTTTTGATTCTTCTCCCCAAAGGCCCCAAGTACATAGTTGTATATTCTAGTTGTAGGTCCTTCTGGTTGTGGCATGTGGGACACCGCCTCAGCCTGGCCTGATGAGCGGTGCCATGTCGGCACCCAGGATCGGAATCAGCGAAACCCTGGGTTGCCGAAGCAGAGTGCACGAACTTAACTACTTGGCCATGGGGCCAACCCCAAATTTTTAATTTTTACACACACTTATGTAACTATTATCCACATCAAGATATGGAGGATTTTCACATTCCAGATAATTACTTCATGCCACTTCCTAGTCAGTAACTATCCCATGCCACCACCACCTTTCTAATCAAAAACTTGGCAGAATCTGTATTTTTAGGTCCCGTTGAGTAACTAGGTAGCAAGGGTGGGAGAACTATAATGAATATGAAGACTTTAAAATCCCATGTTAATCACATTGAAAAATATGACATAGATTAGACATGATCTAATCTGTTCAAAAACAACGCTTTTGTGTATATGGACTTATGAACCCCTTGAAAAAGCTCGAAGATCACCCGCCTTTCCTCATAAGGAGTTCATAGCCCAAGGTCTGAGAACCGCTAGATTAGAGCTCAGGCCAAGTAGATCTGACAGGCAGGGAGAGGGGCGGTGGTGATGGTGGGACTACTTCACGTAGAGCCTCTTATTTATTTTTATTTATTTTTTAAATATTAACTTTAGACACATCTGATTTTTTTTTTTTTTCCTTTTTTTAAACTAAAAACTGTATGTTTAAGTCTTTGGGTCTAGTTGTGAGCGAGCTCATAGGATTTGCTTTAGCTGCCACAAAAGGTATATGAAATATCTGTCATTGTTCTCAGTTTTATTTCTTCATGTGGTTTCCATGGATATAGATTGAAAAAAATAATTGGGAGATGCACATTAATCAGGTTAATGGAAAAGACCCAATCCATCCAAGTTAGAACATACTTAGGGTTTAATGGGAGTAGAATGGGGAGAGAGCATGTGTTTTGCTATTTCATATTCTCAATGGTTGGGCCAGAACCTCCTTTCTTTTATAATCTAAGGACTGATGAATGTTCTGGGTTTAAAGACAAAGTGCTAATATGATGGCCCAGGTGGGTTATTTCATATGTCTGGGAGTAAACTGGGGGAAAATGTTCCCCATATACCACATGAGAATTACTTTCAAAACTGGTCTCTGAATACCATCACCCCATTTATATTTGAGATGAGGGTTCTGTCTATATTACCATGAATTAATTGCTAAAAATGTAACCAGAGACAGAAGGAGACCAAGATAAATCAAATTTTCAACTCCAGAGACTGGTCAAATTAGTGTTTTGTTACAGCAATCACATTGGCCTTGTAACTAATCACCTTCATAGCACAGTGTTCCTACCTAGTATTGCAACTGTAGTTAGATCTACATGTACTCAGAACAGTTTCTGGATTCCGTACAAGACAGAAAATATTCTGGGAGAAAGAACTGCTCTCAGTATTCAGATTGCTCCCTTCCAACTAGCTGTTTTCTTCCTCCCTGCTCTCCTTAAATCCTACAGATTTAGGTATTTTAACCCAATTGTTGCAGACCTGATCAGCAAGTCAGGGGAGTATGAGTTAAATGCAGAGGCATCTCACCTCATTACTAATTAATGGTTTCATGGTGATACTGCATTTTAGCAAATTGACTCAGCCCTGCCCCCAAAACAGAGTGCACCCTTCCCAATGACAAGGTAGAGCTCGGGGTTTGGGGGCTTTATGGTCACCAACATGACCTGGGCCCCAGTCTAAGAAACTTCTTCATCACCTGTGAACAAACAAGCATATACATCCATCTAGCCACCTTTTGTACTTTGGCAGTTTAGTTTCTTTAGTAAATGTTTTGTTGTATCCTTCCATATTCTGGGTGATGTCAGACACACACCAGCAGGCTGAAGAGCTGTATTGTTCCCAGAATCAGAATTAAGATGATACAGTATTTAATCCATGGGATAAAATTGCTTACAAGCCCAAAGATGCTGGCTAATTGACAGAAGTGTTGAGGAATTAACGTTAATTAATTAACTTCGAGCCTTTAACATGAAAGGTGTCCTATAGAATTAGAAGTTAATATTGACTGGTCTAATTGCCTGTTTTGTTGCGATCTGTTTTCTCATTTTGTTTCAAAAAAACATCCATTTGTTTGGCTATTAATCTTTCTAATATGTTAATCCTAACCTGCAACTGAACATGTCTGATACTCCCTTAATTGCCTTCGAGTATCTTTCAAATAGTGACACTTTACCAAAAAGAGTGATGCTTTATCCAAAGCTAGAATATTTGATCAAATATCTCAGTGGGCAAGTGTACTACCTTATTTTTCCTTCACTGTAGAAAATGTAGTACCTCATGGCATTTCTTTGTATTGTTGGTTACAGTGTGATTTCGAGGTATTTGTGACTATGCCAATCACAAGAGAGAGGCAATATTTTTCTGTCTTAGGAATACAAAAGTTGACATCTTTTGGTCCTTAAATGTACTACAGATAGCCATTTATATGATACATCTTTTTTAAAAAAAACATTGTGGTGACATGTTCTCATAAGGGAGAGAGGGATTCAATGAAATTTCTGCAAATGAAAAACCATATTTCAGAGTTTTCTTCCTTTGGTTTTTCATCAGAGGCTGATAAAGAAGGAGAAGTAGGCATGAAGATACTACTTGTAGTGCCCAGATTGGGGTAGTCTTCAAATAAAGTTGTGTATTTTAAGACAATTACAGAGAATATTTTTGTGTGTGTGGTTAATGGAATCCATCACACACATCTGGGTTTGTGGGTTTATGATCTAGGCTGCTTAGCTAGATTGCTTAGACTATGTTAAAAAGATTAACAGTCAAATTTATTCTCTGAGAGAAATTTTAGGGTTTTATCTCTGAAGCATGGCAACCAAAACTCTGCACCACTCACTGTGGTCCCAACTTCCTCTAACCTTCTCGGAATTATTTTATTGTCAAAGAGACTAGATAAAAATCTATAAATGGTTGAACTGAGGTTTATCATCACCCACTTGAGGTACTTATCTTACCAAGGCAAGATATAAAGTATTATCTTCATATAAAGGACTGCTAAATTTATTCCTTCATTTATTCAAATACATATATTTTGAGAACTCTCTATATATCTGGACTGTTCTAATTGTTGGGGATTAATAATTATGTATAGTCCCTTTTCTCGTGAAAATTATTGTTAAGTGAGGAAAGCAGATATTATTCATTTGGAGAGATGCACAGTTACTAAATATTAGGTGATTTGAAGAAAAAGTGTGAGAGGATATGATTCTGAGTTTCTCGAAGGAAGTGATATTTGGGCTGAAATCTGGAAGATGAATGAGGTACATATCATTTATTCTTGAGTTGCCTGTTTAAGGAAGCAAGCACATGAGAGGGATGCTATTAAGTATCACCTTTTTGGCAGATGAGTGGCAACAATGTCTTTGATTGTGAATGGCTTTGTTTTTGTCCAGGAGAAGCTGCGTTGGGTCAGAACTGGTGGACTGGCTTCTGGAACACTGTCCTTTTGTCCAGTGCAGATCCATGGCCATAGGGGTCTGGCAGCTCCTGCTGGATATGGGAATTATGTCATCAGGTTAGTATTACATGTTTGAAAGGCACAAAATCATTATTTTATTAAGCTACCAGGCCAAAATGTACTTGATTTTCCTAGAGGATTTTACAATCTGGGTTGAAATTGTTTTTGCAGGTAAATATTTGTATTCTCTCTTATTATATAAATAAAAGTGACAGGTTATCTTTTTTTCTTTTTCTTTTGATAGGTCATCTTTTGATTGTTTCACACCTTTTGTAAAAATAATTAGGTTCTTGCTGATTCATAGACTACTACCTCTAAGAGTCTTTTCCTTATTCTCTACCTTCTCTACTGAAAATGCAGCTCACATTTTTTTTTTTTTTAATTGTTGACATCTTTGGTTGCTCTAAATGTGTGATTTATCTTGCTGTACTTAGAATCGTCATCAGAAACTGATTTTATGAGTGGAATGTGTATGCCATTTTAATTGACTAAGTAATCGTGAACAGTTAGAGAGAAGTCCTATGAAAATTAGCTGTTTAAACAGAACCGAAAATTGATGTTAACTAGAAACTAAAATAGATGGCAGATATCTCTTTTCTTAGTTGAGCCCAGGGAATTGAAGAATTAGAAGTCAAGCAATCTAGGTTCTTTATTTAGCTCTATCATGCAGCTGCTGGTTGGTCGCTGGGAAGCCCTCTTTTTTCTATAGGTAGGAAATACTGAGGCTCAGAGAACACAGCAAGGTTCAGAAAGCATACCCCAAGTCCCATTGTGAAAGAGTGGTACAGATGGGGATGGGGGTGTAATCTTAGTGAGTTAATAACACCTAGCACCTGATACTCTTATTTAGAAAATCAGTTACCTACTTTTGAGGAATGTTATTATCAGCTTGCTTGTGAGGTTCAGGTTTCTGCTTAGCAAAACATTTTGTATTAATGTTTTTTTGAAAAGTCTCCAGTTCTCGATTCCTTTTAAAACAGGGTTTCCCAGCCTTGGTAGTGTTGACATTTTGTATTAGATAGTCTTAGTTGTGTGGGGCTCTCTTGTACCTTATAGGATGTTTAGCAGCAGCCCTTTCTTCCAGTAGTACCCCCTAGTTACGGCAACTAGAAATGTCTCCACACATTGCCAGTGTTCCCTGGCGGGCACAGTTACCCCCAGTTGAGAACCACTGGTCTAAAACTTGTCATAGTGTTATATCTGTGTATCACTAAAGTAATTAAATGTATTAGTTTGCTTTGAGATGCTAAAAAAATTGCTCCCCACTCCCTTTGAATTGTTATAGATTTCACCTGTCCCTGAAGCAGAAAAATTATAAAATGTGAATATACTGGCCAAAGCTTCAAATAATAAAAATACGTTGGTCAATAAGTCCATTTTAATGGGATTGTGAACATGAATGGACTTAGAATATATAATTATAGTCCTACCCCTGTCTTCTCCCTGGTAAGTAGTAGGGCTTTCAATTTATTCTTTGGTTTATGACTCTAAATAATATACTCAAAAAAACTGATCCACACCTTTTCCATTTTCAACAGTGGACCAGCATTTATACTTTCAAGATACCTATGTTTTCTACCAGTTTTCGTCTGATGAATGTAGCTACTTGTACTGTGAATTTGAAAGAGAAGAAGAATGGCAAAACGGTGTCAAACTCCTACTGCAACTTGTGCCTCTCATACCCGCTAGAGCTGGCATCTGTGAACTGTAAGTAGATGCTATTTTGTTTCATTGTAAAATTGTTCTCACTTAGAGAACGTTTCCTGTGTCTAGGGACTGTGCTCTGCTCTTTAAGATCACTATCTCTGTTAAGAGGTAGTTGTTATATTCCCATTTCTCAGATGTGAGTTTAGAAAGGTAAAATAAATTGCTGAGAATTAAATCCAGCTAATAAATAACTGAGCTGGTATTCAAATCCCAGACATCCATGTCCCACCAGCTGCACCATTCTGCTTCTAATTTAATCATTGCTATGAGGAGATGATCTAAATTAGGAATAAACATGGTTTAGCTTAATTTGGAATAAAATAATAACATATCTTATCCACTATCCAAGTCGTGACTTTCCTAAGAAACAGCTCAACAGACATTTCTGAAAATAATCTAGAGGCAACATTTGGCAAATTTAAACACGTGAGTCATTATCACATGAAGGTACTGAATCACTATATGATTAAAACGAATTAAAATTAATTCATTAGAGAAGGTTCAGGAACAGGACTTGAGTCGTGACGTGATTCTGACGCACCTTTGTTTATCCAGCATTAATGACAAGCTTATTTCAGTATAATAAATTGCAGATTAAAAATTTCAGTTAATAAGTTTTACGTATTCAGTTTTCAGAATACGTTCCCATACTGTTGACTCTTTCAGTTCTGTGAAGTTAGCAGGGCAAGTGGTCTTAGCCCCATCTCATGGGTAAGAAAGTAGAATCAGGGAGAAACACCTACAACCATAACTAAGATAAGTTACTCTTGTTTAAAAAAAAGACAGTTAATACTGAACAGTTACTATAGGCTTTTAGAGAAGAAATTTGTCAGAATATTGATGAGACACTACAGTAATAGAAAGATTGATTGTAGAGAACATATTTTATGTCAGGAACTATGCTAAATTCTTTATATTCATTATTTCATATTCAGATGAGTTCTATAAGACAGTTACAACTATTCTCTATTTTATAAGTGAGGAAACAGAGGCACAGAGGTCAGATAACCTGTCCAAGGTCACAGAAGTGGTGAGTGGAGTGTTAGGGTTTGAATGCATGTCTGTATGGCTCTAATGCCCATGGTTTTAACACCTGCTAGATGTGTTCCCAGGAGTTATGGGAGTCATTCTAGCTTCCCCTTCTGAGACATTATAAACAGAAGCAATAAAAATGTTAGTCTGACTCTTGAATGGTTATGAATTCACCACCACTGATTATAGAGGCCTTTGCAATGGCAAAGTGAAATTCAAGTATAACTCATCACTCAATTAGTCTAAGTATGGAAAATGTTCTTTAGCGTAATATGCTTTTAATATAGGTCAGAAGTTTCCTGAGAAAAGTCAAGGAGCATTTTAATAAACTTTAACAAGCTTTCTAAGAAGGAGTGGTTTGCTTTTTGAACTGGAGGTGGCTGTAACTTGGCTTTGGCTCTGTGGAACTGGCATTCTCCAGCAGCTCTTAACCATTTCCTGTCCTGAATGCAAGATGGAAGCATGTGCAATCCCATGGGCATCTCCAGATTGATGGGGGCATGAGGGCAACTGAAAAGAACTTGCAAGCAGTCTTCATGATTTAGCTCCACTTCTTTCTCCCCGACTTAGAAAGCAAACTGGAATGCCAGTGAGTGAGATGACCTTGTTAGAGTAGGTCTGGGTTTCCCGACAAGTTCTAAAAATGAAAATATTTAAAAAATTTGGGTCTTAATATTGATTCCAGATTACTTGTCATCTTCTGTCACACTGATCAGTGAACACAAATGTCATGCCTCTGGAGGTGAGAATCACTGTAGCATGCCTCGTTTATCAATAAGTTTTTTGTGTTGTTGTGAACACATGCATTTGGGAGTGATAATTCTTCTGGAAAAATTGTCATTGGGGAGCTGTTGATCTATCCCATATTATAAGTGCTAAATATAAAAAGATAAAATTACGGAACCACTGCAAGGTTTTTCTGGAGAGAAAATATATATGTTTTTTCTCTACTAGAGTTATAAACAAACTTCTAAGCTGTGGTAGAATGTTTTTGGCCAAATTTTGGAAAGCCAAGGTTTAAGTTATACAACTTGGAATAAACTATGGTTAGAGAAATATTGCCCAGGGACATTGTCCTCTTTTCATTGTTGTCATGGCCCTTCTTATGGTCGATACATATGATCCTATCATAGTTTCTGCTCTACGCGGGGCTCACCGGTCATTCTAGCCTCATCCCACACCCATTTATTCCATCGTGCCCCCTGTGATGCTCTGATCTTTCCACTGCTTCTTTCCTTGTCTAGTACAATTCTACCCACCCCTCAAGGGGGAGCCCAAGCCCTACGTTGGCCACAAAACTTCAATGGTGTCTCCAGTCCGTGTCAGTCTTACTTTTAGTAACTTACTACTCTTGCTGTTTGCATCAAATTTTTTTCCATTCTTCTGTCATTCTTAGTCCTATGTTATCCTTTATACTATATTATTCATTAATTTTTATCCCTTCTACTGAAATGCCCTCTAAAGTCCTCTTGATTCATTAACTTAGGTTGTCCACTCATGAGCTGAAAACCCAGTCCTGTGGTCTTTTTTTTTTTTTTTTTTTTAAAGATTTTATTTTTTCCTTTTTCTCCCCAAAGCCCCCCGGTACATAGTTGTGTATTCTTCGTTGTGGGTTCTTCTAGTTGTGGCATGTGGGACGCTGCCTCAGCGTGGTCTGATGAGCAGTGCCATGTCCGCGCCCAGGATTCGAACTAACGAAACACTGGGCCGTCTGCAGCGGAGCGCGCGAACTTAACCACTCGGCCACGGGGCCAGCCCCCCTGTGGTCTTTTTTTTTTTAAAGATTTTATTTTTTACTTTTTCTCCCCAAAGCCCCCCGGTACATAGTTGTATATTCTTCGTTGTGGGTCCTTCTGGTTGTGGCATGCGAGACGCCGCCTCAGCGTGGTCCGATGAGCAGTGCCGTGTCCGCGCCCAGGATTCGAACCAACGAAACACTGGGCCACCTGTAGCGGAGCGCGCGAACCCAACCACTCGGCCACGGGGCCAGCCCCAGTCCTGTGGTCTTTTTAATAACCTTTTTGGTATTTGAGGGCCGTGAAGGTCTGCCTTTGTGGTTCTCCATTAGGCCCCTCTAATTTGCTGTCTTCTCTCTAAATCTCTTTAAAATTATGAGGAAACCACTTACTGCCTCTATATAAATGAAGTTCTGTTCTGTACAAATGCATTTTTAAAAAGAAAAGTGGGGAATTTTTTTCATTTAAGAAAGAATGTTTAAAGCAGGAAGGAAAATGGAGCTGTTGCAGCTTTCTAGGCTAATTTGAGGAAACAAAATTCCTATTCTGTACAAAATAACTTTTATATTCAAACTGAGTAGGTAATTTGACAGAAGTGAGGGAATCGGTTGTCAAGGGTACTATCTCTAGGGGAAAAAAATAAGTCATGATATCTCATTCAAACTGAAAGCCAAATCAGGTTGTCCAGAATGTACTGTTTACTAATTCTTTTTTTGTGGGTTGGGAAGCGTTAGGAATGCTGAAGTAACAGTGGAGGGAAAAGTAGCTTAATAATTCCTTGAGGACTAGTAAGAAGTTTCTCTCTGACACTGACTGGTTCGAGAATTCAGGCTGTGAGGAGCTTGACTATTTCATTCAACTGCCGTTACAGCAGCTCCCAGCTTGCCAGGGGTGGGAGTGGTAGTGCTCTGAATAGACTGAGTCTATGAACTTTGAATACATAAAACTATATTCTACCAATTACATGGCAGTTAACATTTATGCTGTTATTAGAAGAGTTGTAGACGATTGCTAAAATTTAGCTCACGCTACACTCAGACATGTAAAAGAATGTGTAGCTTCTTTGTTTTTCTCTCAGTCATCTATTGTTTGTGGTCCACATAAGCCTCCATCCTGCTAGATAGCCAGAAAGAAGGAAAAGAAGCCTGTTAATTTTAGTCTAATCCAGTAAAATTATTCTAATGAAGTAACTTTACAAGTCCCTTTAGTTAGCTAAAATAAAACTATGTTTAGTTTATTTTGATAAAAATACTTCGTCTCTCTGTGCCGTCTCTCTGTGCCATCTCCCTTCTCCTCAGCAGGATGGCATTGGGTATATGGTGAGCAGTGTGGGCCCCTTGATCCTTGCAGAGGAGGCCCTCCTGTCGGGGTGGACTCTTTCCTGTCCTCACTGATCTTGCCTAGTGGATGGGCAGCCAATTCCCTAGTAACCTCTGCAATGAAACTGGGGTGTTCTGTTGTATCTGCTGTGGAGCCTGGGGCTGGTGTAAGTTGGGTCTGTCTCTCTCGTCTTGATCAGTGCCTTTGGTCCTGCCTGGTGGATGTGCCCTCCTGGATGCCTGCTGCCATTGCTGATGCTCCTGAGGTCTGGCTGTGGCTTCCACAGACGTCCCATTCAGCCACTTGACCTCTGCTGAAATAGCTCTCTCTCATTGCATCCCAACCTGACTTTTCTTGATTCTAACGTTTTGTTTGTTTGTTTTCTTAAACATTATACCTACTCATTACTGTTACTGGGCAGTATACTTAATTGGGTAGTGTGCCAATGTTCAGATTCCTTACTGATCAACTCTAGAGAAACCTTGGTCCAGTGAGTTAAGATGAATTTCTTAGCATTCATGATTCCATCTGCTAGAGAGAGAAGCAGAAGGGCCCTTGTGATAGATGGCACAGGATTGTGAAGTTAGGACGACTGGCTGCGTGTTGAGGCAGTACACGGCAGCTTGATGCGGCAGGAGCAGTGGGCCACAGCCAGAAGAACTCAGACTTTGGGACGGCTGGAGAACAAGGCTCAGACTGATTGCAAGAGCCTGCAAATCTATCAGGAAGCCAAGCATTATCTCTACATTGAATAAAGAGAATGACTTAACTGTGTATAGATGCTTCTGAAATAAATTAAATAGTTTGTTACTGGAATTCACAGTAACATTTGTATTTGCTCGATCAACATGTACAGAGTTAATGGGTGTGTGATCTATCTCTGTGTTAAAGGGGTTCCCCTGCTTAAGAAAA